CGTAACACCTCTTCTAACACTGTGAGATCTTGTAGCATATCCTCAGGCGTGGTGTTAACGTTCACGAAAACTCCATTATTAACAGGTTCTTTCAGCTGCGCATCGAGACGCGTGTGCTTACGCGCTAATGTTTCAAAAAGGGATATAAGTCTTTGCGCTACATATGGATGTAATGCGCGAAACTGCCCAGACATATTCGCCAGCGCCGCCAGACAGTTTGTATGCAAATATTTATCACGCATTTTCAACATATTATATTGAATAGTGCGTATGACAACCAGGATTAGAAGACCACCCAGCGATATCTCCGATATGGTGCGCTCTGTGTACCAATGGATATTTTTAAGCATCTAAAATAGAGATGAATTTAAGTAAAATATTTTTTTAATTGAGCTAATGGATTTGCACTCACTATATTATGCACATTCTTGTTGAATCCATCATCCTCACTAAGTATTAGCAGGACGATTAGTGACATGTAGATGTGATGCGAAGTACTATCCGGAGCATGGTACAATGTCTGCAATATAGGTATCACCAAATTCTCTAGGTCATTCTGCGCCATTACAAAGCGGTAGAAACGTTCATTTCGATGTAGCAAGAGATATAACAACAATGTGGCTTGGTCGATGGTCACAATACGACATAAAGTCTCGTAAACGGAGGTGAAGTCGATCTGGAAAGAAGCGCCTTCCTTCGGCGAATCTTTCGAATCAGCGCAGCCAAATAAGCTAGCGCGATATGGATTATCTTTAGTGGTACAGTGATTTGTTAGTATAAGAATCAGTAGAAGACTTTGATNTTCGGCGAATCTTTCGAATCAGCGCAGCCAAATAAGCTAGCGCGATATGGATTATCTTTAGTGGTACAGTGATTTGTTAGTATAAGAATCAGTAGAAGACTTTGATTTGCAAGTGGATAGTGTTCACGAAATTGTTGCGAAAGTTCAGCGCCAGTAGCGCCAGTTGCTTTCAGTACATCCTGTTGTTTGCGGAAGGTGAAAATAGATAGCAACGACTCAGCGATACCAAAAACGAATGAACCAGAAGATGAAGAGCCAAACATGGTATGTGGTACTTCAACCATACGCGCAACATAATGCAATAGTGCGGATACAAGCACATTTGCATGCTGGCATTTGTATATAGTTCTGGAAAAGGAATTAAATAAATCCATGCCAATTAAAGTCAAATACCTTAAAAAGTTACCTAAAAATTATTAATTTCTCTGTGGGTTGCTCGGTGAATAAGTGTACGGAGAGAAGAGTGATGAAAGTATTCACTGCCTCCAAATGCAAGTGATATGTGAACTCCCTAAAAAGACAAAAATGGTGTTAGAAAAATTAAGCCTAACTTTTATCCGATCTCTTTTACTTGACTGGAATCACCACAATCAGATTTACAAGCGCGTCGATGAAAGACTCAAACTTCGCGCCATCAACAATTACTGCTGCCTTTGCGAGCACGCTACCAGCAGCGCCATCCTCGGTGGCCTCAACAGCGATTGTAGTACAGTCAGCATGTGCGCCAGTGTTCGCTGCGCCTTCTTCTGCCCGCAATAACTCTTCATTAGGTATCGCTTCGAAGTGTTGCAAAAGCTGAAACTCGGACCCAGTCTCAATGATGTACTTAACTAACGAACGTATTATAAACAGGGCATTGAATGTTTGCCATATGTGCAGGTTGCTTTCTTTATCAGACAAAGAAAGTAACTCAGCGGCTCTTTCAAGAAACACAGATACCAGTGAGCCAAAGTTGCCTGTTTTAAGATTGTTACTTATGAACGATTGGCAGAGTGCCTCAAGACGTGAGTCCAAACTTAACTGATCTTGACTGTAAAACAAGCAAAGAAACGTTTATTAGGACGTGGGTGTGGTTCGAGGGGGTGGCGTTCACACGTCA